TGTTTTTATCGTCTTATTCAAAGAGAGATTCTCTAGGTAGTTACGGAGAAGAGAAATAACAAAATCCCTGTGAGAATAAGGTGGCCAGTAGTTTCTAAAAAGACCCTCTCCCCAACACACTGGTTGAGAAGCACTGCTCTAGCCTACAGAACCAGAGCTACCCCAAGCCCTGGACAAATCACCTTTCAATTTTCAACCAAATGAGGAGCCATCGTATTATAGAGCAACACTATCCAAAGCAAAAAGTATCCTCCACCCCCTCAAAAAAAAAAAAAAAAAAAAATATATATATATATATATAAATAATCTCCAGAAACTTTAGTGTTGGCCCATACTTTTTGTCCTATGTAACCCAGGCTGGCATCACAATTATAATCCTGTTTCAGTAGCTGGGATTACATCCATGTGCCACCATGCCTAAACTATACTGATCTTTAAAAAGAAACACTATATATACACTACACATAGAGCAGACTTTCAAGTACACAGAGCTTGGAGCCTATCATTTTATATCCAGACTACTTTAAGAAGATGCATTAGGGTTGGGAGTTGGCTCAGTAGAATACCTGGTCACATGTACAAAATTTGATTCCCAGATCCGGGAAAAAGAAAGAAAAAAAAATTACATTACAGAATCTACCTGGGGCCCTGAACTTGTCATCTCAGTCAAAGTCCTTGGGTTCCATTTTTAGTACCTAGTGCTCTTATCCTTGAAGTATTACAGACCTGTAAATCCTTACAAATCTGCCACACACATAAAGGATTGTTCTTTACCTTTTGCGTTGGGGCAGGTCACACCAGAGTTTCAATTATCTTGTCTGTGATGATTTTCACATCACAAGGTCTGCAAGTGGATCATGTAATTTGTCTCATATTCTATAAACTACAAATTATGGCTATGTGAAACTTACAAGGTTCTACACTCTAGCTATATTAATCTATCAAAACTGCTATTACTTTCTTCTTTTCTTTTTGAAACAGGGTCTCATTATGTAGTTCAAGCTGGCTTCAAACTCACTGTGTACTCCAGTGTGGCCTCCATCTTAAGCAATCCTCCTGCCTCAGCCTTCTGAGTGCTGGGATTACAGACATGTGCCACCACATCCAGCTAAACTCCCCCAACCCCTGCTTTTTGTTACTGAGGTTCACAGGTAAAAACCAAAGTGCAAGGTTACCAAAAATATCTTTTCTTCTTTAAATAAGACAGAACTAGTGACAACAATTGGTTACATCATCTTGATCAGCTGTTATTTTGTATTCAGTTTTCCACTGGGAAATGACAGTGTGCCTGGTATAACTAAGCATGATGCAATTCAACCTTTGTTTGAACTATAACATCATGAAGATAATTTACTTCAAAAAAGAAAAAAGGGAAAGGATTATTAGGGAAATATCAGTACAAACTGAGCATCCCTAATCTGAAAATCCAAAATGCTCTCAAATCTCAAACTTTTTAAAATGCTAAATTGCACTTAATATGAGGAAAATTCCACACCCTGACCTCATATGATGGGTCAAAGTCAAAACACAAGCACACCCAAAACATTATATAAAATTATCTTCAATGTATTGTTTATGCAAATATATAACATGAAAAAATTCTGCAATCCAACAATTCTAGTCCCAAAAATTTCAGACAAGGGATTATTCAACCTGTATCTCAAGTCAGATGCAATAAACATCTCTTAAAAATAAAGCTCTGAAGGGGCTGGGGATTTAGCTCAGCGGCATAAGTGCCTACCTTGCAAGTATATGGTCGTGATTTCAATCCTGGGTACCGATTAAAAAAAAAAAAGAGAAAAAGACAAAATAAATAAAGCTCTGAAAAAAAAATTAAAAAAAAAACTAAGCTCTGTAAACCAGGTCTGATGGTGTACTCCTATAATCCCAGTACTTGGGAGGTTGAGGCAGGGAAATCTTTTGCAAGTTCAAGACCAGCATGGGCTACAAAGGGAGCCCAAGGCCAGTCTGAACTACATAAGCAAGAACCTGTCTCAAAAAGACAATAAAATAAAATAAGCTCTGCAAAGAGTCTAAAGTGGTTCCATAGGTGTTTTAGTTTTTACTCTTGGATTTTAGTTTAATTATCACTAACTATATGATTTCCTTTCTGCAATACAATACTGACCTTAAAACTCTGAAAACTACATCTGAGTTTTAACTCTAGTAGAATCCAATGAAATGGCTAAAAGGGGAAAAATAACCAAGCCCTAGAAAAGGATGTGGCTTTGCTCTCAGTTACCATAAAGCCTCTGTGGTTTCCATACCACTGTCAAATTTAGGTCAAGCATTGTGTCAGTATGGCATGGGTATAAGGGTATATATTTTTGTAATCTTCTGGTACACTGCATGGAATGTCTCATTGTTAAAAAGTGAGGGAATCTAGAGACTTCAATCGAATCAGTTATGCTTTATTTCTTTCAGAAATATGAGGAACTGGGGTAAAGCTACATGGCAGAGCACTTTGCTGGCACTTAGGCCCTGGGATCAATCCTCAGCACTGTAACAAACAAAAAAGCTTTTATTAATGTATGCTAAATATGAAGTGTGGGCACATGAGGATGTGTCAATATTGTGCATGTTTGCCAAGGACCCAAATTAATTTGAGCTGATAAAGAAAATGAAAGTAGGGGGCTGGAGATTTAGCTTAGTGGCATAAGCGCTTGCCTTGCAAGCAGGCAGTCGTGAGTTCGATCCCCGGTACCAATAAAAATGAAAAAGACAAAAAAAAAAAAAAGAAAAGAAAATGAAAGTAAACAAAAAAGATGAAGTTAAAGCGAAATCATGGATTAAATTTAACTATTAAACTTTGTGTGACACATTCTATGCAAAAAGATTTTTATGCTGCTACATCAAACCTTTAGGTTTACCAGCTTTTGAAAAATGAGAGCTTGATTCATAAAATGTGTTTGTTAATTCATCTGTTAAATTTTAAATTACCTCACCATTTATCCTTTTTATTTTCACTTTCTATTATTGCAATCAGAGATGGACCTTACACATTGTGAAGTAAACATTGTGAAGTTTCTCCCTCTCAGATTGCCGTCTGCTTTTCACCCAGCAGCACAGCACCTCCCTGGAAAGCACAAGGTACTGAGTCTGATTCCCAGTACCAAAAACAAACAAACAAAAAACGAACTTGGCTATGCTTCTTCAATCAATGCTAGCATTACTCTTGTTTTGGTACCAGGAATTGAACTCAAGACCTCACACTTGCCAGGCAGATGCTGTACCACTGAATTATATCCTTGGCCACTTATCTTTGACTTCTACTCAAATTTAAGATTGAGAATTAAATAATAGACCAAGTTATACCAATATGAATGATTACTAGACTCAAAACATCCTAGAAATTTACAGACAGGGGGACTGGGGATTTAGCTCAGTGGCTTATGTGCCTCCCTAGCAAGCACGAGGTGATGAGTTCAATCCCTGGTACCAAAGGAAAAAAAAAAAAAAAAGAAGAAAGAAATTTACAGCTGTTAATTCCAGCACTTGGGAGGCTGAAGTAGGATTGCCATGAGTTTGGGAATCACCTCGGGCTAGGTGGTGAGTCCAAGCCTGGACTACACAATGAGATTCTGTCTTAAAAACAAACTAACTAACAAAGCATAAAATAATTCTCGTTTTAAGTTTCAACGTTTTGGGCCCCATAGCTTCAACATGGTTAGAGAATGATTATTCTGATTTCTCAGAAAAGGGAATACACTGGACATAGTGGCAGACACCTGTAATCCCAGAACTCCAGAGGCTGAGGGAGGAGGACTAGTGAGTTTGAGGCCAGCCTGAACTACATAATGAAATGAAACTCTGGCTCAAAAAGACAAAAAAAATGTACACACAAAAAAGCGGGGGGGGGGGCTATATCTTCCAGTCTATATGTGTAATTTATCCATATATCCGCTTATATATAAAATAAATAGATAATGGATTTTATCTTCAGACTAACATTTCAAAAGGCTAAAGGGAGAAAGGAAGGGAGGGAAAGGGATAAAAAGAGAACTGAGATGTGTCATGTACATGCACCAACTCCCCATGAGGAATGTAACCACTAAGTAATGGAAACCTGCATCCCCCCAAAAAAAATAAAAACTGGAAAAAAAAAGTTAAAGGCTTGGACAAGAAAAATGGCAGAAGAGGAAAAACTAGTATTGCCAAATAAATAAATAAATACCAAAAAATTCCCACTAATATTGCAATATGCAAAAATCTAAAAAATGCAGTATCCTTAGTGAGACCAAGAAACTCCAGTTGAATTGACTTACAAATGCGTTGGAGTTCCGCACCTCAGTACCCAAACCACAAGTATCACAATATAGTTAATCCGTTTACAGCTGTGCTGTGGGTACCATATGAGGATCCAGAAATGATTAGTTTATTCAAAGCAGCTACAACCTCACAGATAAGACACTCTCTACTATGTCAGCATTGAGCTTTTAAACCTAGTATCACTCTAAGAATGTCAGTGAGCCAAGTGTGGTGGCGAAGGCTTGTAATCCCAGCACTCTGGAAGCTGAGGCAGGAAAAACACTGCGAGATCAAGACCAGTTTGGACTACATAGTGAGCTACATAGTGAACTACATAGTGAATAGGGCAGCCTGAACTACATAGGGAGACCCTGTCTTAAAGAACAAAGCAAAACCAAAACAGAATTTCAATGAATTGGCAAACGTTTACTGAACAAACTAGACCTCTATTTGAAATCTGGAATGTTACAGGAAAAAATGGAAGCTGAAGCTACCTTTTTTTTTTTTTGTATTAGGGAGCAAACCAAGGTCTGAGACAAGAGGTCTACCACGGAGCTACATCCCCAGCCCACTAGGTCATCCTTCGATTGGCCAAGGAGTCGTAGAATCCTCCCAGTTTTCTCTACTCAACAAAAAGATGAGACTCCTCGCTTGGCAAGCGATAACCACCTTGCTGGCTCAGTGGGTGGGGCCAGAATCAGAGAAGTCGCTCAAAACCCGCAGATGGGCGACAAACCAGCCAGAAAACTTACCAGCCTGAGTTCCTAAAACCTTCGAACTCCCCTACATAGTCTTCCTCTTCAACCTGCGGACTGAAGGTTATAGCGAAAGCCAGAAACCCTGCGCCAGGCGGGGCTCACTCAGCTGCTTCCCCCAGCTCTGAAACATCCAAACTACAAAGTCGCTGCTGGAGCGCTAGCCACACTTGCGAAACCGACCCACAAGCAAGCTCCCGCTTCCTGTCCCAAGCCTCAAATTCCCAAAAGTCCAAACGCAAGCAAAGGAACTAAGTCCTCCAACTCCACGGGCCACATATGCCGAACTTGGAGACCGACAGTCTGGCTGCTACTTACTGGCACATTGTTGACACCTTGTCCCTTGGAAGCTATCAGGAGAATTTCTCTGAAGTCCATGTTCGACTGAGGGGGAGAGACTGGGCCAAGCACTCGAGAAGGAGTGCAAGAGCGCCTTGCCAAGGCGCCCAGCTACGCCAAGTAAACTGCCTCGGCAGCCCCCTCCCACCCCTCTTCAGCTCGACTACTTCCGTCGCCTTCCAATGCCGTCTTCCCACCCCGCTCCCTTGGCGGCTTATATATTCTAACAGTCCCGCAGCGCTTCGGGAGTCGCGTAACTTCCTCTTTCAGGCCCAAGACACGTAAAACGTGATACGTGGCTACTGGCGTCGGCTCAAGGGGGCGGGACTAAGCCATTTGCCAGCCAACGAGAGGCAGTCTGTTAGAATGGGGGGTGTGGCTAGGTGGAGAGGGCTCTTCCTAGTTGCTCGGGATGCGGGGCTTGCCATCCGTGGTGTTTCTTGTAAGCGGTAGTAGAGAAAGAGAGGTGTAGGGTTACTTGCCAGGCTTGTTTTCTTTACCTATCACGCAGTGGGCGCCCACATCCGAAACAGCTACGACTCAATTGCAGAACCAGTAGGTCTTGAGCTTGGAATTTCGGTCACCGTTTCTAGGTGCTCGGGAAGCTGCGCAGGCGCACAAGGCACGGAGAGGTCCGGGATACGCGTAATTCATCCGGACATGGCGCGCGGTTATAGCTAAACAGATGTAGGCCCACTGGTCGTAGAGGCAGGCGCACCTCCTTTTGCGTCTTTTAGATAATAAGCCCTACGTAGGACGGCCCACCTGTGGTTCTGATGGAGGGAGGGAATGAAGGGATTGCTTGTACAGAACCAGCCTGGATAGACTCGATGTGCTGATGAACATTTATTTATACTCCATACTCATAATCACTGCAAGTCCAGTCCTCGCTTCTGTTGGAGAGTTGTCTTGCATCTGTAAGGTCATTTCCACAAAGTGAAACTTACATAAATAATTAAGAAAACCTGAGTCTGAGGATGGGCCTGGGCGAGGGCTTGACAGTGGGGATTAAGAATCTTTTTGGTGTGATGGAAATGCCCCAAAATTGGATTGTGGAGCTGATTGCGCAGTTTGACAAAAAATTATTGTAAACACAAAGAAATGAATTGTGGAGTGTAAGTTACACATAGCTGAAACTAATAAAATATTAGGCAAAACTTCTGGGTTTTAGCTGGGCACAGTGGTGCACGCCTATAATCCCAACTCTGGGAGGTTGAGTCAGGATGATTGCAAATTGCAGCACAACCTAGGCAATTTAGTGATTTAGTAATACTCTGTTCAGATCTTTAAAAGAGAGGTGATGCGGGACTGGAGATGTTGTTTGTCTGTCGTGAAGACCCCTTGTTCAGTCCTCCTGTACTGCAAAAATTAAAAAAAAAAAAACAATAAAACCATTAAATGTCCATTGACGTTTAATACTGAATTGGAACTTGTCCCTTGCAGGGTGCCTAGGTAATAGGCGTGGAAGGGTTGAGTTGAAATTTTGAACTTTCTCATTGCCTCTGGAGAGCCCAACTACTTCACTTGTGCCACAACCTTTAAAAACCTATAGAGCTGTTTTAAATTGGTCATATTTCGGGGGAGAACACTGCTTTTTTTTTTTTTTTTTTTTTTTTTTGCCTTTTTTGTTTTTATAGGTATCGGGGATTGAACTCACAACTGCTTGCTTACAAGGCAGGCGTTTATGCCGCTGAGCTAAATCCCCAACCCCAGGGGGCAGAATACTTCTACACACCTTTTACCATTAAGATTTGTGTGTTATCTGGAGGCTAGCCTAGGGTATAGTATTTTGGGGGAAAGAAATCAAATTTTAATTTCCTCACGTGTGTAAAAAGGTACAACGGGATTTCCTTTAGGGGGTTTCTGTTTCACCAAATAGAATGATCCTTCAATAGTTTTCGATTGTTCATAGCATAAAGACTCAAATCCCAATCCCACCCCAAGCAATAGCCTGTAAGGACTGCCATGGTTTGCCTTGACCCACTTCACTTCTCAACTCAGCTCATTTCCTCACATGTGGTAGGTTCTCTGAACTCCAGTGACATAATGATAATATTAGGCAGAAAGTTAATCATTAGCAAGCTAAAAGCTGGGCATGGTGGTACACACCTGTAATCCCAGGACTCAGGAGACTGAGGCAGGAGGATCACTGTGAGTTTGCGGCCAGCCTGGGGTACAAAGTGAGCTCAAGGCCAGACTGAATTGCATGGTGAGACCTTGTCTCAGAAAAATAAAATTTAAATCATTAGCAAGCTGGAGACAGGAATCTGAGGGCTACTTGAAAAGCAAAGATGTGATTTTTTCTTCACCTTTAAGAATTAGCTATAGGGGCCTAGGACCAGTGGCTCAAGCGCTTATCTGGTAAGCATGAGGTCATGAGTTCAAGCCCCGGTACCAAAAAAAAGTAAAGAAATTTCTTTAAAAAAAAATTAGCTATAGATAATACCACATGAGCTTGTGGTCTCAAATTTTAGCTCAAGAAAATGTAACATCACTGGGGATTTAGCTCACTGGCCTAAGTGCCTCCTTGGCAAGTGCAAGTTCAGTGAGTTCAGTGCCTGATACAAAAAAGAAGGAAAAGGAGAAGGATAAGAAGAAGAAAAAATGTAACATTTCTCAGTGTGCTGAGAAGGTCCAGGCCCCATGTAAAGTTCGGACTATTCATGAAGGATTAGGATTCATGAAGGATTAGGAAAACCTAACAATCTCAGCTGGGCGTGGTGGTGGTGCACGTCTGTTATCCCAGCACTTGAGAGGCTGAGACAGGAGAATGGCAATGAGTTTGAGGTCAGTCTGGGCCACATAGTGAGTTCAAGGCCAGACTAAACTGCTTAGTGAGACCCTGTCTCAAATAGAAAAAATGAAAACTGGGCTAAGGATTTAGGTGAGCAGCCTGAGCACCTGCCTGACAAGTGTGAGGTCATGAGTTTGATTATCTACCCCTCTCCCAAAAAAGATGAAAAACCTTACAGCCTTAAAGCAGACTAAATGGAGACACCTACCTAAGGAGTAAATAGGGAATTACTCTTGGAAATTGTTAAACATAGCCCATTCTGTTTGTGCAAGAACATTAACACAGGCAGGGATTACTACAAGGATGGGGAAAGAGGCAAGATCCTGGGCCTTTACAAGCTGCTCATTAAAAACTGGATTTGAGGGCTCGGACTTAGCTCAGTGGTGCAAGTGCTTGCCTGGCAAGTGTGAGATGGTGAGTTCAATCCCCTATACAAACAAACAAACAAACAAAAAACCTGTATTTGAGGTTGAAGATATAGTTCAGTGGAACAGCACCTGTCTGGCAAGCACAAGATTCTGAGTTTGATTCCCAGTACCAAACAAACAAAACCCCACTGGATTTGTATTTTTCCTGGGATAGCTCAGAATTTAAAAGACCCTTTTTTTTTTTTTTTTTTTTTTTTGATACAAACCTTAACTCTTTACTTGGGCCTCTAGTTGTCCAAGAAGTAAATAAAAGTAGAACAAAGTTCAACTTCATTTTACATCTTTTGTTACTTAAAACTTGGATCAGATCACTTCTCAGCTCTATACATAGCTATCTTGTGAGAAATGAATTAACTTATCCAGCGCCACCAAAAAACTGAACTCCTTAGGCAGCAAAAGTGAAGCTTTAATCCATTCTCTTACAAGAGCGGTGACAGAGCACAGAGACAGACACATGAGGGTGGAGAAGCCGCACGCTTTTATTTCTAACTTGAATGATGTCTCCCCCATCTCTCTTGGCCTGGGTTCTGGGGTTCGCAGTCTGCTTTGAGCAATCTGTCTGGGCCCACACCTATTACTTCCCTTCCTCTCTGCCTTTCCCTTTTCGTCCCCTCTTCTCTTTGAATTTCTTTTTCGTAGTTATTTGTGGCCTTTTGGCTTTTCAGGATCATAATTCAGGCAAAGTTGTTTAGCAATTATCTCTTACCGCAGTATCTTATCTCTGGCATGAGTCTCTTTGTAGCCTGAATGTCCCTGACTGCTGTTTGACCCAGCTAATTCCGTGAATAAGGACTTATAGAGTGGTTAATCAGATATGGTCCAATTAAAAATATTTGTGTCATAGGGGACATTCATAGGTGAATCAGGAAGTACCTGTCTAAAAACTGGTAGGACAAGGTTGATGAATTTACAGAATTTCACCCCCTACAAAACTGAAGACACCAGGATAGGTGGTTTCCAGGAAGCCCGACTATGCCCGAGAACTCTCCAGCTATTGTCTCGAAACTGTGATCAGTTGGGAATGGAACCGTGCTGGGCCATTAAAAGTTCCAACACTATGACACCATGGCTAAAATAATGATCAACCGGGCTGGGGATTTAGCTCAGCTGCATAAGCACCGCCTGACAAGCCGGAGGTCATGAGTTTGATCCCCGGTACCAAAAAAAAATAAAAATAAAAATAAAAAAAAAAAATCAACCAGACCCCAGCCCACAGTTAATCCATAAAAGTGGCCTTTTATCTTTGTGGGGGCCTCCTGCAGCTCCCTAAACTGGAGCCCTTTCCTGTCTTTCCTTCAACTTTACAGTCAAACATTTTTCTTATACATTTGTGCTCTAGTTTTAATTTCCATTGTTGCTGAAATCAAGGATCCAAACTAGCCAGTGACACCAGGGCCTTTGCATACACTCTTCTCCATCTGGCGTGTTCCCCACAGTCCATTTGCTGGACCAGCTCCTGCTCATTCTCACAAGTCTTTGGTGAATGGTTATCTCATGGTTCAAGTTCCAGCTCTGCTGATTCCTTAGGAATTACAGGAATTTAGCTTTCTGTATCTGAGTGCTATAATCTATAAAACAAAATAATGATGTCAGCATTGTTCTAAAGTAATACATCTATGGATTATACATTAGTACCTAGTTGTGATGGACAGTTGTGTATATGTTGAAATCTTATCTCTAGTACACACACTTGCAAGGCAGGTGTTTATGCCACTGAGCTAAATCC